CCATGGGTTAATTGATTCTGGCTGCCTGCCGTTAAAGTTTGATCTGGACGCAAATGTGGGAACATTTACAGAGCGTTTATTCAAAGTGGTTTTAGGGAGGCGCGGGAACGACGCAAAAATGTTGAAATCAGCAGGGGGCGACGAGTGCCGTTAGATCGTGGTGGGGACCGCAAAGTTCGCGAATAAAATTAGCAGGGCTGTTGTATAACTCACTGTATTTTATATAGTAAAAATTTACAGCACAATTTATATTATAGGCCTGGATTTCTCAGGATGTAAATAGAATTCAAGTAGATTTTGGATTCATATATATATTGGTTGACATGGTATATATATTACGTTATTATTCCTAGTTTTATTACTTTAGCTTTTGATTTAAGTTAAGGTGCTATATGCTTATTCATAATGTATATTTGAGACTCTGGGCCTCGAACGCGGCCGATGCTTCGTAATTGCCCGAGCCATAAAAAACATGGGCCGCCGCCACCTGGTTACTGTCCACATAACACTAATAAAGTCTTGGATTCAGACAGGGCTGTGTTCGTCGGAGTGACAACAGCTGTGATGTTTACATCACCGGCGCCGGCAAGAATGCGCAAGAATAATAAACATTCCAAAGCGCTTCCTCTCTGTCTGCGCGGCTTCCCAGGGAGGCTTCCTCTCTGTCTGCGCGGCTTCCCAGGGAGGCTTCCTACGAACTTCCGCTGGCTCTCTCTTCACGTTCCCGGCGTCCGGGAGCGAACAACGAGTAGGCCACGCCTCGCGCGGCGACGCGGCCGGGAGCGACTTGGTCGGGGAGTAGACGCCGTGCAGCCGGTACGTGTATCTCGTCTGCACTCGCTCGCCCGCGTCCGCAGGTGGCGCCACGGTTCGCTCGCCCGCGTCCGCAGGTCCCGCTCCGACTGTAGGTGGCGCCACCGCGTCCTCGGCGAGACGCGTCGGAGACGTCACGTTCTCGTAGTCTAGCAGCGTTGCCACGGAGATGCTCTCCGACAGACCGCCGGCGCCCTCTAGCAGCGCGCTCTCAACGTCGGTCTCCGACCGCCACGGCCGTGCGCCCGCCTCTCGCGCTGCTGCCACCTGGCGGCCGGAAGTCGAACCGGCGTCCGACTCGTCGACGGCGGCGAAATCGAGCCGGCTCGCGTACGACACGTGGTGGCGCCACTGGCGCGTCGCCGCGGCGCCCCCTGGCGGCGGCTGCTCAGGCGCTGCGGCCTTCCTGTGCGCGAGGCTGTGTATTTTGGCGGAGAGGCGGCTCCAGGAGCGTGTGCGACTCACCTGAAGCCGAACCCGGTCCGCTTCCGGATGCCGCCCGCAGGGGGCGCCGGCGGTCGCCGCAGACGGGCTCCACTCGCCGAGCTCTCCGGCGGCGCCACCTTGAGGTTCGTCCCCGGGGGAGCCCGGAGCGACGACGTCCGGAGTCACACGCTCGCCGAACGCCGGGTCGGAATCGGAAGCACCGCTCCGATTCATTCCGGAGTCCGCCGCCGAGGCGTTCCGTACTTCCGTCTCGTCCGCGTCTCGCGGCGACTCGCTGCGTCGCGTCCCGCCTCGCCCGCGAGTCCAGTACTCTCCGATACCGCCCTCCTCTCCGGTTCCGCCCTCCTCTCCGCCCGAATCCGATCCGGATTCCGAACGACAGCTCTTGCTCGCCGGCGCCCCCTCCGCGGACTCGTCCGGGTCGGCTTCCGGAATGCGCTTCCGCTTTCCCGTCGACGCGAGGAGGCCCGGCAGGGAGAGAGCCTGGAGAATCTCGGAGAGAAGATCCCCCTGGTTGCTGCAGGAGGAGAGGAAGCTGTCGGAGGCACCAGGGGGCGCCGCGTCGCCGCCGCTCGCCCGCTCGCATCTTTCGCTTACGTTCCCGTAGAGGGCGCCACAGGTCTGCACCCTACCGACGATCGGCGTAGACTGGGACGGCACGCGCTCGCTGCCCTCTCGCGAGCCCACGCTCCTATTTACCCGGCTGCCATCTACGAAAACACACGCCGTTGCACTATGCTCTCCCTTCTCCTCTTTCCCTCCCTTGAAAGGGGAATCTCTCTCCATCTTCTCCTCTTGCTCTCTCGTGAGAGGGGAATCTCTCTCCATCTTCTCCTCTTCCTCTCTCGTGAGAGCGGAATCTCTCTCCGTCTTCTCGCTAGGACGCGGGAAGGAAGCATCGATCGTGCGTTCTCCTAGGGAAGGTGCGTGCTGCTTCGCGAGGGCGGAGGAAGCCCCGACATCCTTCTCCCCTCGGCCATCTGCGAGTAGACTGACAACATCGCTGAACGAGTGCAGGAACATGCTCTCGCTGCTGCGCTGCCGCACGAGGTCGTCGCTCGCGGCGCCCGTCTGTCGTCCACCCGCTTCTCTCTCGTCGTCTTCTTCCACCCTCCTTCCTTTGTCCTCCCACGCACACTGCCTCCTCTCTTCCTCTCCCACGCTCCACCCTCCCTCCGCTGCACCATTCACCTCCTCTTTCCCCGGCTCCACCCCTGCACCCCTTCTCTCCTCCTTCCCCACGCTCCGCCCTCCCTCCTTCTCCGTGCCCCTCACCTCCTCCTTCCCCGTGCCTCCATCGTCACTCTCATCGTCCGTGATCATTGCCGCATTCTCCTCCTCCTCCTCCTCCTCCTCATTGCCGCTCATCCAGAGACGCCCGACCTCTTCGGGGCTCGTAGCCGTCGCCGCGGCAACGGGAGGCTGCGGGCTTCCGTCGCCGAGAGCCGTGAGCTCGTACTTGCGCGCGATGTTCATCATCACCGGCGTCAGACGCCCCGACCGCTGCAGACCCGCGAGATACGAGACAGGGGGCGCCGCCGTGCCGGCCGCAGTCGCGGGGTCGCGCGCGTGGACGGCGAGTCTCGGGGTGCGCGCGTGCGGAAGCGCCGGAGAGCTGCTCGCCGCGCCGCGTCGCGACGGCGGCGCCCCTGGTGGGTGATGAGGTGGGCGAGCCGGGAACGCGTCGTCGGCGATTCGTCGCGAAGCCAAGACGGAACGTAGGCGCCCAACTGCCTCCTCCCACCCCCGGGCGCCACCGCCGCCCCCGAGGTCGAGGGGGAGCCCCACCCTCCTTCGCGGCCAGGGCGACGAAGCGGCATCTCTCCCGCGTACGACCGTTGCCGCGGCGACGCATCCCGTCCGCCGTTCGCCGTCGGAGCGGTTTCCGTGGCGACCTCGTCGTTGCCGTTGCGGTTTTCGGGCGAGGGATCCGGCGCGGGGGAGCCACCGGCAAACCTGACGTCGCCGATGGAAGGAACGAACGTGCGCGTCACCGGGGAGGCCCGGGTCCTTCCGAACGCTACCCAGAACAAAGTTGCCTTCGGCGGGATGGCCTCCACCAGGGGGCATTGCTCATCTTCATCGAGTGGGAGATTGTCTTTCTCTAGTTGTAACTCGTCCTTCTCTAGAGGAAGCTTGTCTTTCTCTAGTGGTAGTTTGCCTTTCTCTAGTGGTAGCTTGCCTTTCTCTAGTGGTAGCTTGCCTTTCTCTAGTGGTAGCTTGCCTTTCTCTAGTGGTAGCTTGCCTTTCTCTAGTGGTAGCTTGCTTTCTCTAGTGGTAACTTGTCTTTCTCTAGTGGTAGCTTGTCTTCCTCTAGTGGTAGCTTGTCTTCCTCTAGTTGAAGCATGTCTTCTTCTAGAGGTAGCTTGTCTTTCTCTAGAGGTAGCTTGTCTTTCTCTACTGAGAGTTTTGTCATCTTCCATGGGGTAGTTGTCTTCACTAGGAGGCACTTGCCTTCCTGCACGGTGCTTTTATTGTACGTGCAGACACGTTCAACCCGCGAATCGTCTACTCCGCCATGGTTTTCTTCGAGCGCGGCAGCTTCCGGCGAGCGTTGCCGTGGCGACGTCGTGTCGTCTGTCAGTGCGCAGCAGGGGATGGGCGTGGAACGTCGGCCGCGTCGCCGCGTCAACGTCACGCTGTCCGTCACCGCGTCAAATCGGCCCCCGTGACGCCCCCCGCACCCCTCCGCACAATGCGCGGGTCCGGCGGCCCCTCGCGCGCGCCTGCCGCGGACCGTCGCCACTCGTGCGCGTGGGGGTGGAGGGCGACTCGGACGAGCAGGACTCGATGAACGAGATGTTTAGAATGTCCAGCCGCCTCTCCTCGCTATCCGCGGCGAAGCTCGGCGAACCTTCTCCATCCGTGTCGACCTCCAGCGACATTTCCTCGTCATCATTGGTGACCTCTAGCGACCTTTCCTCGCCATCGGCAAGTTTCAACGACCTCTCCTCGTCACTGGTGATATTCAGTGACCTCACGTTGACCTCCGCCGACCTCTCATCAACGACGATCATGTCCAGTTTGCTTCTGAAGGACACCGACCGCCTCTTTGTTCGGTTCCCCATCCTCTCCTCGTGCTCATCCTCCTCCTCCTCCACCAGCATTCCTGCATCGTCGTGTTTCCAGCTTCTCTCGGCATCCTCCCCCAGCATCCGTGCGCACCCCTCCTGCTCCTCCTCTCTCCTCCCGCATTCCTGCATCGTCGTGGCTTCAGCGTTCTCTGGGTGGCATCCTCCCCCTGCATCGCACGCCACCCTGCGCCTGCTCCTCCTCTTCTCCGGCATTCCTGGCATTGTCGTGGCTTCAGCTTCTCTCGGGCATCCCTCCCCTGCATCCGGCGCACCTCTCCTCTCCTCTTCTCCGTCGAGGGTTTCCCGCCGCGGTGTCGGCGTGGAGAGGTGGCGCACCGTCCGCCCGGCGTGCCGTACATCGACTGCGACCGGGCGTGCAGCGCGCGAACACCGGGTAGGGGCGCGCCGCCGGCGAGTCCGTCGCTCGTCTCGCGGATCGCTCCGGGCGGCGGGATAACGGATCGCGCGAGACGCGAGGCGAGGCGCGATCGGAGTTCTCCGCCGGACGGGGAAGACGGGAAGAGGGAACGTCGGGGCTCTCCCTGCGTGCGGGACGCGCAGGGCGAGCGGGAATCTGGACAACGAAAGAACGATGGAAGCGATCAGGAATTTAACGGGCGAGGGAATACGGATAACGGAATACGGAATACTAGGAATACCGACGCTCGACGTAGAGAACGAGGGGGGGGCGGCGGTGTACCTGGCACATGGCAGCAACAGACAGACACTAGTGTCTAGTCTGGAGTTTCCTAATCTTGTTGGAACATCCTTCACTAGCGGTCGGTATCAGGTGAGGAAATACGGAATACGGACTAGTATACCACACAGAGCACGAGCGCGTGTACCTTGGCACATGGCAGCGACCGACTAACAACTAGGCCACAATTAAAAAAAATCTTTGTTTGCCTCACGACCGACCAGCTGAAACGTTTGGGTAGTAGGTCGGCTTTTTTGAGGGCGGGGCCTGTTTACAAATTCAGCATGGTGTCTACATGCTCGGGTGTGCTTGTGTGGAGAGATACTTTTTATGTTGAATGTTTGTTTTGCTTGGTAATATACAGATTTGTTTTGCTTAGTACCTACAGATTGTTTTGCTTGGTACGTACAGATTTATATAGTATGTACAGTGATACAATTTGTTTAAAAAAAAAGGTAAATAAATTTTTTGAGTCGGCTCCTATTTGGCGGGTCGGTAGGGTGAGGGAAACAAACAATATTTTTATTATGGCCTGACTAACACTAGTGTCAATCTGGAGTGTCTAGGCCTATAATAAGTCGGAACATAACCGCTTCACTAATTCTCCATATCACGTGTGTGCATGAGCGACTACGTACCTGGCCTAGGTGGCAGCACTGGTCGTCGCTTACGGGCGCTGGGGGGGAGGCTTCTTGGCGCAGCCTGGAACAATAGAACGTTTAACAGTTAACATGAAATGCGCTTTGACAAATGTCTGGTCGTGCTCTATGTGACTGGTGTGTGTGTGTGTATGTGCAATGCGTGTGTGAGGCGCATGCCCTGTATGTGTGAGTTGCATGTGTGGTGCATGCGTGTGTGTGCATATGTGTGGTGTGTGTGCATGCTGTTGAGCGGGCATGCCTGTTATGTGTGTGTGGATATGGTGTGTGTGTGCCATGCGTGTGTGAGCCATGCCTAATAATGAGGTTTTTCATTATCATTTTATAGTAAGGGCGAAGATGCTTTTTGCACACAGGGCGTGGGCGGTGTGCGGGCGGGGTTTTGGGGGAGTGCCCCCAAAAATTTGTTTAAACCCTAGATGCTAACGAGATCAATCTGTGTATTCTGAGCTGGGCACCGTAAACAGACACATTTCGAGTTACACGTAGGTGCCTTTTTCCAATTTGGTTTCTGCTTGGATACATTCGAGTTCCCCAAAGTTTCCAAATTATGACGATTTAGTAATTATAAGAGTTAGACAAGTATGTATAATTGGCATTACTCAAAAAAAACAATGCTTCTTGTTTTTTTTTTATATCATTCTTGAGCAATTGTAACCGGCCGAAACAGCAGAGTAGACGGTCAAGTTTAATTCAGCGGTGGCCGGTTCCTAATGAGAACACTGTATATGTGTGTGCATGTGTATGTGTAGATAGAAAGCTTGACCATTAAAGTGATATATATAAACATAAACGGAAGAAAAAGCAGATGAAGAATGCATTAAATAGGGAGGGGAGCAGTTAGAGAGCAACAGAATGGGGAGCTAGGAGGGAGGGAGAGGAAGAGAGAGAGAGAGAGAGAGAGAGAGAGAGAGAGAGAGAGAGAGATAAGAGGAGGAGAGCTCTAGGGTAGGGAGAGAGAGAGAGAGAGATCAATAGAGAGATGGAAAGGAAGAGAGAGAGAAAGAGAGATGACGAGAAAGAGAGAGAGAAAGAAGAGAAGAGAAAGAGAGAGGAGAGAAGAGAGAGCAGAGAGAGCGAGAGAGAGAGAGAGAGAGAGAGAGAAAGAGAGAGAGAGAATACGAGAGAGAGAGAAGAGAGAGAGAGAGAGAGACGAGAGAGAGTGGAGAGAGAGAGAAGAGAATAAAGAGATAAGAAAGCGAAAAAAGGAGAGAAAGAGAGAGAGGATGACAAAGAAAAATAGCAAACAACAACAATAACAAAAACAAAACAATAACAATAACAATAACAATAACAAGCAGCAGCATTATAAGAAACATACCTTGTGTTCCTGCTTGTTATTCTTCCTCACTGGCTCCGGAGATGGGTTCCCTGTCGCCCGGCGCCCCCTGCCACCTCCGGAGACACTTTTCTATCACTGGCGCCCCCTGTTGATTTGAGTTTGATTGGTCCTTGGCTGAATATATCGCCGAATCCTGGCCCTTTTATGCCCGGCACCCTCTTCTTCTCTTTGTGACTGTCTGTAACAGGAACGGGACGACTGTCTGTTAACAAGGGGCGGGACGACTGTCTGTAACAGGAACGGGACGACTGTCTGTAACAGGAACGGGACGACTGTCTGTAACAGGAACGGGACGACTGTCTGTAACAGGAACGGGACGACTGTCTGTAACAGGAACGGGACGACTGTCTGTAACAGGAACGGGACGACTGTCTGTAAGTGTAACAGGAACGGGACGACTGACTGTAACAGGAAGCGGGCGACTGTTCTGTAACAGGACCGGGACGAATGTCTGTAACAGGAATGGGAGATGTCTGTAAAAACCCAGGAACGGGACGAACTGTGCTTGTAACAGGAAGGGGACGACTGTCTGTAACAGGAACGGGACGACTGTCTGTAACAGGAACGGGACGACTGACTGTAACAGGAACGGACGACTTGACTGTAACAGGAACGGACGACTGTCCTGTAAGGAACGGAACGACATGTCTGTTACAGGAACGGGGACGACTCGTCGTAAAGCAGGATACGGGACGACTGTCTGTAAAGAACGGGACGACTGTCGCTGTAACAGGAACGGGACGACTGTCTGTAACAGGAACGGGACGACTGTCTGTAACAGGAACGGGACGACTGTCTGTAACAGGAACGGGACGACTGTCTGTAAGTGTACAGAGGACGAATCTGTCTGTAGACAGGAACGGGAGGCGACTGTTCTGATAAGCAGGAACGGGACGACTACTGTAACAGTACGAGACGACTAGTCTTGTAACAGGAACGGGACGCTGTCTGTAACAGGAACGGGACGACTGTCTGTAACAGGAACGGGACGACTGTCTGTAACAGGAACGGGACGACTGTCTGTAACAGGAACGGGCGACTGTCTGTAACAGGAACGGGACGACTGTCTGTAACAGAACGGGGAACGACTGCTCTGTAACGCAGGAACGGGACGACTGTCTGTAAAGGAACGGCATACTGTCTGTAACGGAACGGGAGACGACTGTCTGTAAGCAGGAACGGGACGACTGTCTGTAACAGGACGGCGAACGAACTGTCCTGTAAGCAGCGAACGGGATACGATGCCTGTAAACAGGAACCGAAATGACTGTCTGTAAGTCAGGAAACGGGACGCGACTGTCTGTACCAGGAACGGGCACGACTGTCTGTAACAGGAACGGGACCGACTATCTGTCAACAGCGAACGGGACGCTGTCTGTAATCGTGTAACCAGAACAGGGACGACTGACTGTAAAACAGGAAGAGACGACATGACTGTCAGGAATGGGACGACTGTCTGTAAGCAAGGAAAGGAACGACTGTCTGATATATCAGGAACGAACGACTGAACTGTAACCAGAAGTGACGACTGTCTGTAAGCAGGAACGGGACGACCCTGTCTGTAACAAGGAAACGGGAGGAACTGTCTGTAACAGGACGGGAACGACTGCTCTGTAACAGGAACGGGACTGACTGTCTGTAAGCACGAAACGGCGACGACATGCTGTTAACACGGAACGGCGACGACTGTCTGTAACAGGAACGGGACAACTGTCTGTAAAGGAGGGTGAAGGGTTACGACGCAACGTATAACTAGGTGATATTATCAGGAGTCTATCATAGGAGTAAGACAGACTGAAAACCAGCAATAATTCACATTTAGTAAGCGCTTATTCTACCTATGACTTTATTGTCGTTGTAACTCGAGTATAACTTGAGGCTCAAAGATGTTACTTAATCATTAAACTAAATTCCGTGTAATCAAATGTTGTGCTCACTAAAGAATGCCAAATCGGGTAGATATGCGGTCCAGCCTGTACAAATGTGGATTTCTTAGAAATTTGTATACGCACACTGTCAACAATTGTGATGCCGAAAATAAGGGCAATGCTTTTTGAATAGCGCCTCTAACCAGCATGAGCAATGCAAAGCACTAGCGGAGGTTCGCACAGGGATTTCGGAAAGTTTAAACACCCGACTTTGGTGTTGATTTATGAGCCATGTCCAATGACAGTAATCATGTTATGCAACGATATTGTTGAGAAAAAATAAAATGGATAAAAATACAAAAACATGTGAAATTTTTGATTTCTAAGTGTAAAATAGTATAAATAACAGCCGAAGTCGTGTTTAAGCTTTCCGAAATCATGCCGAACCTCGGGGTAGTTGTTTGGCATTGCTCTGGGCGGTAGAGAGGCTTATTCACAAGGGCATTGCCCTTTGTTAAAGGTTGCACAGTTGTTGACAGTGTGGTATAATTTTAAACACCTTGTACGTTTGGACCGATATCTCCCGATTTGTCATTTTTGTGAGCACAACGATTAGACAACGGAATTGTTTAATGATTAGGTAAATTGAGCTCAGTTTATCGAGTTAACCAATATAATCATAGTAGACTAAGGGCCTACTAAATTGTTGAAATTTTGCCGGTATTCACGTCTGCTTACTACCTATTGATAGAGCTCCTGGAATATTATGGTGTTAGGTAAGGAGCAAGACGTTATCCGCCCTCGTATCTTTGTAGCAAATAAATAAAAAACTTCTCTCTCTCCCACC